CTGGAGAGGAGGGTCCGTCTGATAGTCGAACCTCGGATTCAGGAGGAGCAATGCGGTTTTCGTCCTGGCCGTGGAACACTGGACCAGCTCTACACTCTCAGCAGGGTCCTGGAGGGTGTGTGGGAGTTTGCCCAACCAGTCTACATGTGCTTTGTGGACTTGGAAAAGGCATTCGACCGCGTCCCTCGGGGGACCCTGTGGGTGGTACTCTGGGAGTATGGGGTACCGGGCCCTTTGATACGGGCTGTTAGGTCCCTGTATGACCAGTGTCAGAGCCTGGTCCGCATCGCCTGGTCCGCATCACCGGCAGTAAGTCGGGCTTGTTCCCGTTGAGAGTTGGACTCCGCCAAGGTTGCCCTTTGTCACCGATTCTGTTCATAACTTTTATGGACAGAATTTCTAGGCGCAGCCAAGGTGTTGAGGGGATCCGTTTTGGTGGCCTTAGGATTGCGTCTCCGCTTTTTGCAGATGATGTGGTCTTATTGGCTTCATCAGATCGTGATCTACAGCTTTCGCTGGAGCGGTTCGCAGCCGAATGCGACGCGGCCGGGATGAAGATCAGTTCCTCCAAATCCGAGGCCATGGTCTTGAGCCAGAAAAGGGTAGAGAACCCTCTCTGGGTCAGGGAGGAGGTCCTACTCCAAGTGGAGGAGTTCAAGTATCTTGGGGTCTTGTTCACTGTAATGAGAGAGCCGAGAGATGGATTTAGCTCAGGGGTGCCCTCTTACATTTTATAATATCTGGACTAGTTGAAGTACATGATATTATACTTAATTTAAACGGATTCTTTCATTTTTCTGGACTAAGTGATATTGTGCTTAGAAGTACTGTGTCGGAGATGGTTTAATCAGTGACATGAGACGTTAATTTTCTTTGACCCATCAAAATGAATGTGGTCATTTATTAACAGAATCAAAATTTAACATCAAAACATTGTACACTTGATTATTCTGATTGAATGCAATAACACAGCTTAATTAATTAGCTTTACAATGAGAAATCATACGGCCATGATTTCTCACTTGCAGCAAAAAACAACAGACATATCTGAAGATATCTGGATTAATTACTGCAGGCTTAGCTTATCTTTTTACTGGCGAGATAGAAGAGATGGAGTAAAGTTTAAGGAGGGAAAGTGGATACTTAGGTTTAACTAAGATAATAAAGAAAAGATGGGGAGTTATCTTGTTTGAAACCAGATAGCACGTTTCCCAGTGATTTCGGCTAGATGTACCCGAGCGTCGACTCTTTACCTTGGTGGGGTTTCAGAGAGGTCTTCTCCTGGCGTCCAGCAAGGCTGAGTCTTTTTACCTCCAGGGATTTATCCACGTCTCATCAACTTGGGATGACGAGGCTGACTGGCCCAGCTTCCAAAATAAACTTCCCCGAAAGATAAGATTAAGTTAAGTGGAATTTCAGCAAACGTGCTGAACTCCTGAGATGTTGAATAGGTCTTTGGCGTAATGACCGGAATCAACACTCCAGACAGGTGTCATCTTTAGAAAATGACCACCGTGGACTTCACCCTTGCAAAGTCGCACTGTCTTCCTTCTCAGCAGAACTCTCTGTTCTCCATGGAACTTCGGTTCATGTCTCCCAGAACTTCGGTTCATCCTCCAGAACTAACTGGAACTAGGAAGTGTCGACTTTTTAAAGAGTTCTGTTTCCGGTCCCTTCTGGGAAGTCCTGATTGGTTGAAAGAACCAACAGGGGTGTGGTTTTAGTGACGTAAGAGGTTACTACAAGTCAGAAAAACAGCGGAGATGTTTAAGAACAGACAGAGAAATGTTTAGGAACGTTCAGAGAAATGTTTTGGCGAAGTGGGAGGAATGACAGACCCACAGGTGCCAGTAGCTTCTTATTTCTGTCTGAGAGGTTTAAAAACATGACAGTTCGTTCCAATAACTTCTTTCTGACTTTCGACCGACATCACTACTTCTCATTTCAGACAGAAGATCAAAATGCATAATTACTTTGTAACAGACATCAACTTGATTTCTACTTTGAATGAGGATTAAAAAATCATTAATACTGTTTCACAGTTGATTTAAAATGAGTAGTTCACTTCAACATTTAAAATGGTTTGAACTAAACACACTTTTGATTATCAAGACATTTGTAAAAATAGTAATGATAATATAAAAAGAGAGTGTTCTTTCAATTGATTAGTTCAGAATACAATTAGAAAGTCTCTGGATGAGCTAATTTGTATTTCTGGATTCAAATCAATGAAATAACAGTTCCTGTCCCATGAAGGTCCTCAGAGGCAGGTTTTGACCTGAGGCTTAGTTCACTACATCACGAATGAGGGAAAAATGGAGCGTGAGATCGATAGGCGGATAGGTGCAGCATCTGCAGTGAAGCGGGCGCTGTACAGGTCTGTCGTGGTGAAGAGAGAGCTGAGTCAAAAGGCGAAGCTCTCAAATTACCGATCGATCTACGTTCCTACCCTCATCTATGGTCACGAGCTTTGGGTTGTGACCGAAAGAATGAGATCTCGGATACAAGCGGCCGAAATGAGTTTTCTCCGCAGGGTGTCTGGGCTCTCCCTTAGAGACAGGGTGAGAAGCTCGATCATCCGGGATGGACTCAAGAGTAGAGCCGCTGCTTCTCCACGTCGAGAGGAGCCAGTTGAGGTGGCTTGGGCATCTGTTTAGGATGCCCTCTGGACGCCTCCATGGTGAGGTGTTCCGGACACGTCCCACCAGAAGGAGGCCCAGAGGAAGACCCAGGACACGCTGGAGGGACTATGTTTCTCAGCTGGCCTGGAACGCCTCAGGATTCCCCCTGGAAGAGCTGGCCCAAGTGGCTGGGGAGAGGGAAGTCTGAGCCTCCCTACTTAAGAGCTGTCGCTTAGTAGGTTTATCCCGTTATGCGGAGCATTTGCACTGAAAAATTTAGTCCACGCCCACCTGCTGTGTGGGCCCCACCCGGTCCGTATAAATTACGTTAAGAGCGGGAAATCGGCTCCCCATTTTTTCTTCAGCGAGCTAATAGCACTGTCAGAAGAACAAAGAAGGAAAATTGTGTAGATGACCAACCTTTGTTAAAGATGCTTGGCCCGGCAGTCGACCTCCGGTCGTCCGGTGAGTTCTCCTCCCAGAGGAGAAGCTGACGAGCAGTCTTATTTCAAGGTAAGCGCCGAGGAATATTTCTCAGTGACAGGTCACTACACGCTGGACAACGCCATCTTGTATTTTTCCTTCTCTCGCCGACCCTCGGAGTGAATCGGATGGTTCCTCCGGGACAGGCGCGTTCAGCTGCAGCCCCCCGCTGCTCATTCCCTCCTGGAGAGCGTAGTGTCGGTGGAGGGGGGCTGAGTGAATGCTCACCCCATCCCACCTCGTTTCGCATCGGTGATCACACTGCTCCCGGCCGACGGCGCCCTCAGGGGTTGCCCGGCGTAACCCAGGAGGCGGCTGACATGAAGGGACCCTTTCTTACGTCCTACACCTTTCCTGCCAGTTCGGATGATCTGGCAGGAAGGTTGTTTACTGGGTTTCATTCCGGCTCACCGTCTTGATCCATATGGCCTCGTGTTCCCAACAGGACGTCCTATGGGCGAGGCCACAGACGGGTTTTTTCCTGGTAGATTGGGGGAGCCGGTCTCCACAGTCCGCACCCATCTCCAGAGCAGGGGTTCACTGAGCGGAAAGTCCCTCCGTGCCCCCTGGAGCCGAGCCTGATGGAGGCTTCATTGGAGCAAGATGTCGAGGTGGACCAGCGTCCCGTGCCTCCGGTTAGCATAACCGAGAAGGTGACACCGCTCTCCAACTGAGCTCACCAGCATGTGTTCCACACGGCCGCAGCGAACAACACGTTACGCTGTTGGCGTACACGTTCAGAGACGGGAAGAGACAGTGGCCCTCTGTCCTTCGGCTCACTTCGCTCTCGTAGCGGCTGCTTGCTAACGACGCTGCCGGCCCCTGCAGTACGCTCCGTCTACAGGGCAGCTGACGTCATCCTCAACCGGTGCGCCTCTTTTGTTGTCTGCCGCCCCGCATCGCAGCCGGAGAACGGGGTCCCAGAGGTTCTCCTGGCTCGTCACTCCACCTTCCTCTCAGGAGAGCTGCAGGAGCTTGTTGGAGGTCCTCTTTTCATCAGCGAGAGATCATTTCAAGATGCTCCACGGCTGCACAACGCCTCCCCAGCTCCGCTATGCCAGCCCCTCCTGTCAGACGTCCCCGGCATCCGGAAGTTCATTTTTTTTCCCGGACTTCGCCAACAGGGGGCCCTCCAGGACAACAAACAGCTCAAAGGAAGGTAACCAGGTGTTGGGTTGCTGGAGGTGTGTTGATGACACTGTGAATAACATCATTTTATGATGAAGTGTCCTTTAGCCAGGCTGTCAGCATGGTTTATCTGACAAGCGGCCCCATCACACACACTCATCACGAATGAGCCTTTTTAAGGTTGTTTTCATTCAATGTCAGCGGTGCCGATACGCGCTCCCGCGGCATGAAAGCGCTCACGCAGCTCTCAGCGCCCGCTGTTCACGTCAACGTTAACGTGAGACCACGGTACGAGCTCAGCAACGTATCTCGCTCTCGGCAGAAGCGACACACGTTTTTTCATTGCAGTGCTGTCAAACGCGCGCTCCCGTGGCCTCAGCAGTTTCACAAGCCTCACAGTGGCTCTGCTCTTTCGTCCTCGAAGAAGGTTTTCTGAATTAATATTGCAGCTCGTGGAATCAC